CCTTTTTCCTAATTGTGGAGAAAACTTATTTCTTGTTTATCCCATCTGATCTCTGGAACTTTTCTCTGACTCAGTCAAGCCCTTTTGTAAGGTAGCTTTGTCATTAGCACACTGAGGAACTGTTCTGTTCGGGTCAAACCTCGAGTTCTTTAATTCATGCGAATTTTCCTTGAAGCCCATGAAAGACTTAGCAAAAATGAAACAAAAATAATTTTTACTTATTTACTATTTATTATTACTTATATTCACAAGCCTGCATGCACTTGTTCAGTAACAGTTCCTTTTTCCTAGCTAATATTTTGGTGTGATCATGTAAAAATCTGAGTAAAAATTTAGTGAAAACAAACAACTAAAACACAATTTATATAGTATAATAATGTTTGCTTTGTCAAAGCACTTGTCTTTTTCTCTCCCTGTTGAGAAATCTTCAAAATTGATTTGATAGGCATTGGATGAACAAAGATTTCTTTAGATCTGAACAAACATGATTTTACATCCTCAAAGATCACTGAAGGAGGCTCAGTGTTAAAGTTTTTCTAAACGTAATGTGAGCTAATACGGTGTTTTTATCAGAATTCCTACCTGCAGAGTAGAGCATTGCTGGACTTAAATAAGTTGCTGGCACGCAGGGTGAAACCAAATGAAAAGCGAATAAATGCTTATTGTTCTTACACATAATTATTAAAATGACTGTGGATAAAATAAGGGGAAAACAAGTTATTTAAAAGGTACAGTTGATTCAGCTGTTTCTCCTGTACTGGCAATTTTCTGTACCTACAGGAATCCTTAATAGGCAGATACCATTCTTTTCTTTGGGGGGAAAAATACCCCAAACCAGGATAAGACCACAGACTGGCTAAAGTAATTTCTGAGCATCTGTCCATTCGGAGCACAGATAAATTGAAATGTATAGTTTATGAATGTCAGGTGTTAACAGCCTTTTTAACGTCTCTAATTTTATGTCTACATGAAAAAGGCTGATCTTCTTCATTTGTCTTTTTCCTTATAATTCAGAAAGCCATTTTGCTAGAGATGAGAAAATGTAGCCTAAATGGTAGATATTACAGGATGTCTATCAAAATGGATTGGCATTATTTAAAGAGATGAAGCTAAACTAATAATTAAAAAGTATTCTTTATATATATATATATATATATATATATATATATATATATAAACAATTGTAGGAAAACTTCACCTTTCCAGTGTCATCATCTATTACTTACTTCAAAGATTTCCCAGCTTCTGCTCTGGCACAAACCACACAGTTGTAATCAAGATCAAAATCTGGGCTAAAGAATTTCTAACATATGAATCCAGTTCCTTCATAATCTATAAAAACCTTTTAGTTTATATTTCTTTGAAAGTCTCTGAGAAAATTTACCTACTAAAGTATTTTTATTTAGGGGAATTGGGTAAATAATGTCACTAATCTAGTTGTTCCCTCTTTTCTATTTTCTAGGGTAAATACATAGTCTGCATAGACCCTCTAGATGGCTCATCGAACATAGACTGTCTTGTTTCCATTGGGACCATCTTTGCCATCTATAGAAAGGTAAAATGCTTTCATGTAGGATAGGAAACACTATTATTGTGCACCTTTTGATGAAATATAATTGCACGTGAAGACTTAATAAAATCTAACTAAACTTGTTTGTGAAAGAGATTTTCAGGACCAGCTTTAAGTTAAATCTGCTATTTCACAGACACTTGTATAAAACATTTATGAGGGATTTTCATTAGTCTCTTAGAAGATGAGGTACCGTCGTGGTTTAACCCCAGCCAGCAACTGAGCACCACGCAGCTCCCCCCAGTGGGATGGGGAAGAAAATCAGGAAAAGAAGCAAAACCCGTGGGTTGAGATAAGAACAGTTTAATAGAACAGAAAAGAAGAAACTTATAATGATAACACTAATAAAATGACAGCAGTAGTAATAAAAGGATTGGAATGTACAAATGATCCGCAGGGCAATTGCTCACCACCCGCCGACCAACACCCAGCCAGTCCCCGAGCGGCGATTCCCCTCCCCCACC